TTTTCATGGCAGGCGAGCCAAGTTCGATTCTGCTTGGGATTTCAGCTGCTTTCTCTAGAGGCCGCTGGTTAGACGAAAATTTGTATTTGCACTTCAATTAATTTGGGCAAAAGCAAAATAATTTTTTCCAGGGCTGACAAAACTTTCTGAAATTTCGGTTGCACGAGCAAAATGTTTGAACTAAATAATGGCTTTAGCAAGTTAATTAACTTGCTTTCTTGGAGTCTAAACTTGGGCCCTTCAGGCCTCTCAGAGTCTTTAAGCTTAAGCTAATACCTGGATGTTTTACAAGAGCATTTCAACTTGCCCATGCTTGAAACCGATAGAAGTGCCTAATTTATATCGAATCAGCCTCAAGTAGAAATTTTGGGGCCAATATTTGGGAATAAAAGCTTTCGACGAGGATCCTTGGCCTTGTCTGGAACAGACAGCTTTATCTGCGTTGTAAAGGCCGCAAATGATCCTTAACGGAATATAATGAAGCTCTAAATGGAAATCCGTCTTATGATTCAGCGATTTGTCTGTCACCGATCCCAACTTGGTTAATTATTCGGAAATTTGTTGTTTCTAAAAGCCGACAACTTTTGGATAAAGACTGCAATCAGTAGGGGCCAAAGCAGTGTTGGAAAAGCAATTGAATTTTAAGGAAAGTACGATTTAAAATTTTGAATTTAATATGTTGGCTTTATTAACTTTTGTATTATGCAATTTAACCACCTGAATCTAAGAATTTGTCGTTACATTTTTGTAGCCAGAATATAAAACTTTGGGAAATAAACTGAAAAAAGCAACTTATAAATAAGCAGAAAATTTACGATTAATTGATATGGACCATAGAAAGGAGGTAACAGGAAAATAAAACTACATTCATGAAATGGTATAATGAAAGAAGGTTTGCAGAATTTAATTTTTTCTAAATCTCACAATGCAAGTTGTGCGTCTATTCACCAAACTTGGGCCAAAACATGTATTTGTTGTTTGTCGAGAATACACACTACAGCTACACACTACACACTACTTTTTTGGCAGCAAATTTCAAATTTTAGGGACCAACAAAAGAGACAAAAAATGTACATTAACTGGAATGGTATTTATATATAATATAGTATAGTATATACTCATGAATAAAAAAAGTTTGCAAAATTTAGAATCTATTTTTTGAAAGTTTTACAAGAAAAATTTTTGGCTATTCATTAAACTTGAGAAAAACAAAAAATATATAAACACATGCTTTGAGAATCGACAGTATGGTCGTTTCGGCAGGAAATTTTAATTATCTTTAATCAGCAAAAGGAGTAGTTCAAACTACACTAATGCAATGGTGTGTCAACTTTCGAGAAAAGTAAAAAAGTTTGCAAAATATGGAGTGCTTTTGTGAAGTTTTACGAGATAAATTTAGAATATATTCATTAAACTTAAGAACAAACAGAAAAACAGTAAATGCATGTTATGAGAAAGCACACTTTACGTCCGGTTAGTAAACTAAAGAACAATTTCATTAAATGGCAGGATACACGAAAGTTTGTCGAAATTGGAGCACATTTTTTGTAAGTTTCAGAAGCCAACTTTTGCGTCTATTTATTAAACTAGAGAACAATTTCAATAATTGGCAGGCTAGAAGAAAGTTTGCCGAATTGGGAGTTCATTTTTTGAAAATTAAAAAGGAAAATGTTGCCTATATTTATTAAATTTCTTTGATGCAAGCTTTTCACCTGTTACTACATCCCAAGTTCATTCACAGTCAACTCAATCTACTTTCGAAATCCATAATTTTCTTACAATAGAGTAAAGGAAAATGCAAGTCAGCTTTTTGACTTTCAGCTAAACCCAACTGAAGAGAGCTAAAGGGTTCAATTTTCTTTAGAGTTCATTTGAAAAAGAGAAACTATTTTCCAAGAGCAAAAGAAGTGAATTCAAGACAAATATTAATTAGGCCAACAAACCCAACTGATTCTAAACTTGATGCAATTCATGAAACGTAATCGCATAACTTTGAGAAATTACTTGAACAAACAACGCTCATCAAAGGTGAATTGTGCTTGTTTCATCTTCCAGCTTCATTTCGCATCCATTGCACTTTGACTGCTGACCTCAAAACAGTACACATATCTTTCAAACTCCCCTTCCAGATTAAGCAGCAGCTTACCAAAAAGCACTAAATTTCCGAGATAAATTCGCACTGACTCTCTTGCTTTTATTTCATCTTAGCTTCCAGAGTTGGCCTCCAATTTATTTTCTTCTATAAATCCTGCGCTGGATAGTTAACTGCCAATAGATAGAGGTTGTAAAACATTCCGAACGCACTAAAAAGACCATCGCCGACAGCTTTATGTTGATGCACTTTGCGGCTGACACGTTAATCATTATCAATTACCAATTAGCGAAATTATAATCATTAAAGCGCTATTATTGCTCTGCTCGTTTTTCCTTTCAAGTTTTCATGTTTTGAATACCAGGCAATTTCATAAAGAAAATAATTAGCTGCAGCACCAAACTTCGCTTGTTTCACTGGTAGAGTTTCAGTTTTTCCGGTTTATATCTAACTATTCTCACATACATGGTTCGGGCACAAATTCGTAAAGTAGTTAACAACTTGGACAAGTTCGGGATTGAACATCTACAATTACACTTTGCAATCTGACCTCGTAACTTTTGCGGGAATGACGGGAAATTGGGCCAATGATCTGTGCAATACAGCAGGGATTTGATGTGCTTTTTGAGCAAAACCCAACATAAATTCATAAAATCTAAATTTAAACAGATGAGACATGTAAGACATGTAATATTTTGCAACAACAGATCCCAGTGCAATGTGCAGAAAGTTTGAACCAACTTCCAGAAACTATTGAGTTTTTAGAGATTTTAAAACTTCTTAAAAACTTCATAACCCCGAGCAGCCCAAAATCTGAAACTGATTATCTACAGCAAAAGTTTGAGGATCAACGTTTGCAAAGTCTGAGTCCATTTTCCCTTCGCGTTGAGGTTTGGCAAAATTTCCATTTTTACCATAAAAAGTGGGTTTTCAAAATTTTGCAATCCTGTCCTTTTGCTGCTAATTTTCAAAAGCTAGTGCATGTTGAAAAACCTAAGTCAGTCTGCTGGAAAAAGTTATTTTCTCAGATAAGAAAGACAGATTTTTGCACTTAAAGTAGGAGAAAATACAAGGAATTTCGGGCAAAGCCACGATGAGAAAAAAAACCAAACAAAATCCTTCGGTTGCATCCAGAATTCCGGCAGCTGGCTTGGGAATTAATTATACCAGTCTATAGGGATATGCAAATTTTCTTCCTTAACTCCTATCTGCATATTTAGGGACTCAATTATTCAATATGGGCAAAGAAGATCGAAAATTTAATTTCCACAGCCTTTCAATGTTAACAATCGATGCACTTCGAGGTTGTTTAGCTGACTGACACTATTAAATGTGTTCCTAATTCATGCGTTTTCATAAAAATGCAGGAAAACTTGTGCAATAAATCATACATCTGGTTACATTTTCTAAATGTTAGCCTTTGAAATAGACCAGGATTTCACGCATATTTCGTTTCTGACCAATAGAAATGCCTCTACAACCAGAGGTTGAATCAATTATGCAAGCTGCTTGAAAAAGTGAATTGTTAATTGTTCAAATCAACATCGATGATCGTTGAACTGTAATCGGACATTGATGTAATTGGCCGATGTCCTTCGTTTCGTATAATGTGTGTATCATGTACCTATCGATGGCACTCTAATTAAAGGACAATCTATTCACTAGATCACCTTAGCCTGTGGTATATTACCATGTTAGACTTGAACTGAAAAAATGTAGTTTCAGTCGCCTGCCATATGCGTAGATTTGAAAATATGCAAGTACTTATGGGCAAACCCTGAACTGTTCTAGAAACAGCGATGTAATCAATCAATTTATTGGGATTTTTACCAACAAGTTCGGTCTGGAAAGGGTTTTTGTATTTATTTCCATTGCCTTATCATTGAAGGAATATTTTGGGAAAGCTCCACGCCAATGATTTAAATGAAATCGCCAGTCGATATTTTTTATTTACTGTGATTTTTGTTTTATGCGCTCTTTTTCAGTAGATCGTAAAATCCGCTTGAATGAAGTGTGATTGAAATTGGAATGTTGAGCGGCGTGAAAAAGTGAGAGTGGTTTAAGAAAATATTAATATTTTTGGATTTTCGTTGATTATTCGCGATTACCTTTAATTTTCTTCTTAGTTTCATTCTATCAACATTAGCACCTGCTTTTCTGCTCAGACTTAAATCGGTCGTTTTCTCAATTGTTTTTCAACCTGTAAAATCGGTTGAAAAGTTCATACTCGCCATGGTGCTCTAGAATATTAAATTCGGTTAACTACAGGAAAACTCGTTAGGTTTTTAGCGTACCTTCCATTTACTTTATTTGCGGAAATTTCAGCGATAGAAGTCGGTTAAGATTATTTATTTACGTCATTCATTTCTATTAACTCTTTGTGATACTACATTCAGGAAGTACATTACCATGCATGTACCGATTTTATTCATGCAAATGACCGTGCTTGTGTAGTGAAGATTGTTAATTCAACTGCCAGTCTTCTCTTCCGTTCTATTCTATTTGTTAGATACATTTTGTTTATAGTGTGTCTGCTTAAGTTGGCAACAGATGGAAAATTTTTTATTATTAATTTTACTGGCAAACGTAAATCGTTATAATAAAATCTGCAGGAAGCTAAAATCCAAAATACAATGATCGAATAGTAATTTTTCAGTAGCGTAGGCAGTTTATCGATAAATAAGTTACCCTACCCCGATTTTTCACAGGATCTAAAATTGTTAGAAACAAAGTTAAACACACAATTATGCAATTACTTTCTGTCACTTAAACACAAATATTTAAAGTCTGCAAAAGTCTTGAATTTATTTTTATATTTAATCTTTTTTTCTGAGCAATATTCAACATTTTTCTCTCGCTGTTGGTTACTAAAAATTTAAAAAAATAAAAAAAAAAAAAAAAACAAGAAAACAAGTATTTCGCATTTTTGACTACCAAACCAATTTTGATCGCTTCTTAGGTCATGTACATCATGTACAGGTTTTCAGTGAGTTCATTAAAATTCCCTTTGGCTAATGATATAAATGACGAACTTGGCCTTTGAAATACTAAGTATTCGCGTGGTAAGTTCCTTCTTGTAAGTGCTTCATTTACCTTGAAAACATCTCAACTGGTAAATGAAAGAAAATCGCGATTATTATTCGGGAATCAACTGATGTGCGAGCAATGTTGTGGTATAGTGTCTTGATGTGGGTTTTTGGTGTTGTTCGGGTTTTTGGGTTCCACCATCAGAACAACGTGTGTCCTACACTGGAGGATTATAAGACAATTTTCCACAACAGCAATTGCCGGTATAATCCAGACGTTGGTTCTTCACCTGTGAGTTGAGGTTTTACCCTTTATTTTTCAACAATATTCAAATGTTTCACACTATCTAGCAAGCTCTGCCAAGCTCTTAGCGAAGTTCTTGTAACAAGTTAACAGAAGCCTTGAGGGATTAGCTTTAGGTAAGCTCATTAAGATGCCCTTAATTTCGGGCCAGTAATGCGACCTACCAAATATTGCTTGCTAACCCTGAGGCGCTTACGTGAGAATTTCAAAGTTTGGAACTTTGCCGATTACGTGTGGAATCCAGGACTTGAACTAGACGCTTTATTCGCAGCTTTCTCCTGCTTTGTCTTTACGAAATCGAACATGAAAAATCGTTATTGACTAGGAGAATATCTGAAGTTCTACAAGATTATTTTTTTTGTTTAGAAGTTTATTGCAAAGAGATACGGCTACCCTTTGCAGTCCCATGAAGTGGTAACAGAGGATGGATACATTCTGACTTTGCATCGCATCTCTGGAAGTAGAAACCCAGAGAATTCCAAAAAAAAACAGCCCGTACTAGTTTTTCATGGATTGGGCGGCAGTTCAGCGTTCTGGATGTTGCAAGGCAAGAAGTCACTTGGTATGCAATATCTGGTAATATTCATTATTAAAAGGGAAAGTTTTTCTCTAAATGCTTAGTAAATGGGTTTTTAACATTTGGTTGTCTCTTGGGTATTGAAGAAATTTCCGTTATAATCTTTAGCTATTATAGATGTTAACAAATTAGGTTTCAAATTTCAAAAATTGCCTGCGTGGTTTCTGGGCTTATTGAATTATTTTCGTCCTTAAAGAGGGACTTGAAAAATTCTCAGAGTGAGTCCTAATTATTCGGTCATTTCGCATCAGAATCGTCTTTCTGGGTCTATTACTAAGTTTGCGGATTCCTCCCTTTGTTTTGAAAAATCCATAGAATTTAAGGTTAGAAGATCTAGTTTTATCAAAGAGCCTGAAAGAAGAAGTCACCAGAATGACTTGCAATTTTACGTCCGAAAATCTTTTCCGAATTTTCCAAGTTTCCGTCCGAAAAGTTTCGCTTTTGTGTTTTTTTGGGCTTGTTTTCGACCCAAAAACTGTTTCAAATTTATAAACGGGATTATAGAGCAAACTACTAAAGATAGAAACTGCTTTAAAACGATTCAAAATATGACATTATCTTCGCTTATTCCAATCCAGACGAAACATTTTAAAAACTGAATGCATGTTTTGTGAGCTTTTGAATCCTCTGCGCCCCAAAAACCAGCCAGTTTAAGGTCGAAGAATTTCAAAATGAACGATTTTTTCGGTAATTCTGGACCATAATGATCCATAGTGTATTAGTGATTCCTCTCTGCGCTACGATAAAAATGGCATAGCATTTAATTCAGGCAACTTGAGCTTACTTGAAGAAAACTAAAATAATTACTTGTTATTTTACGGAAAAAAATCCAGGTTTCACAAATTTTGTTTTTGAGCACAAGCGTCTATAATAAAACAGTCGGATCAGAAGACTCAGAATGTTAATAAATTCTCTTAATTGCAAAAAAATGTGAGTTTTTGTCGAAGAAAAAAGAAGAAAACCTTGTGGAATTTTCGACAAAATATCCAAGTTTTTAACTCCGTTTTTGAAGCCCAGTAGATTGCGTTTTTTAAATTATTTAGAATTTGAAGCAATTCAAACTATTTTAGGAGTTTTTGGAGCAAACTGATGAACAAAAATTTGCATTTTTATTTAATAATTTCCTTTCATTTTGTAATAAATTTGTGCCCAAATTTCGTAGATCTGGTCTCTTGACGCTCTCTCAAGTCAGAATTTATTCAGTGTTGTAATATTGTTGGCTGTTTCTTTGTGTGATCGTATTAATTTTCTTAAATCTGCAAGCTTGTAGAATAGCAGCATGAAATTCGTACTCAATTTCAAAAATGTAAGGCAAAACTAGGATCCCAAAAACTTAATTTCAAAACTTGACATTTCGACTAATCAAACGCAGACAACCGCATTAAATTTTAAAAGAAATTGAAACAGGAAAACATCCGTTAGATCTAATAAATCCGCATCATTTCACCACAACACATTTTTTTAGGTCATAAACTCAGCTCCATCGAATTGAACGCAGAGTTCTAATTCTGGTTTCCAGAGCTTGAAATTTAGCAATTTTTAGCTTTTTTTAATACAATTGTATTTGTTGCAGCTTTTTTCCTTGGTGATTCCGGCTACGACGTTTGGTTGGGAAATTGGCGAGGAAACTACTACTCGAATCGGCATGTTACTTTAGCAGAAGATAGTGCAAAATACTGGAACTTTGGGTAAACACTTTTAGACCCTTTTCACTCAATTCAAGCCCTTATTTGTTCTAATAATTGCATAATTTCTCCAGTTTATTGAAACAATGCGTAACGTTCACAGCGACTCGAGGGAAAAGACCTAAAAGCTCCATACAAATAAAATTAATAATACATGACAAGATAAGCAAACCTTCCGCAATTGTCTCCACACATGGGCATTTATCATTCGGTGTAATTGTTGCACAAGAGTAGACTGTCACTAAATATTTAAACAGTCATAAATCGTATTCGTTGAATTAAAGGATACAGTGTTAACATGCTCGCACATTTTTCACTTCAGCGCCAAGAAAGTAAAGATGAGCGGTAGAAACTGCTATAAGATAAAAATAAAAAAACAACCAGAACCAGATGCAGTAAAATATTAACCAACTTATTTATGGGCTCTATGTTTAGACCGATTTTGATTGGAGGGCGGCTTTGAGCTGATCTATATTGGACAGCCATCAAACTCCATTTAGAGCTAAGTTTTTTTGCGAATTTCCAGGTTTCACGAGATGGCCATCTACGATCTGCCAGCCTGTATTGACTTTGTCGCCAACCGGACAGGTGAAAAGGGAAATTTGATATACGTTGGGCATTCCATGGGGACGACAATTTCCTACATTTATTCAACGGTGAAAAGAAAACATGCCGAGGACAACGTAAAAGCAATCATCTCGTTGGCTCCAGTCGCCTACATGAAGAATGTGATGGGGGCTTTCCGGTTATTAGCACCTCTAGCACCATTAGTAGCCGTAAGATTCCGGAATTACTCCTAATTCTTTCGTTTCATTATTTCGTCTCCTTTCAGTTTTGCTCTTTGTCATACTGTTTCAATGTTTAAATGTGCGCTTTTCCTGTATTTGATAGAAAAGGAAGACAACCAAAAATAAACAAAAATCTAGAATGGATTGTTGTTCGTCCGATCCGGAGAAAGAAAGAGAAAATGTTTATTTACTGACACAAATTCATTTTAATCCTCACTACGTTCAAACAGAAAGCGAAAAATTTGCTAAATTCGCTTTTCATTATTAGAGTTCTCAATTTGCCAGGCAGGATTTTGGTGCAATTTTTGTTCCCGCGATTGTCCCCAGTGTATATTGCCGATGCATTTAAGGTGTTTTATACGTTCTGAGTATTTCCTGTATTTTAAAACAAACGTCTTCAAACCACCACAAACTTCATTTTATACTCAACTGCTCGTTTGCGTCTTCTAGACCAGCTTTCCCTGGCTGAGCAAGTTCTTCCCGACATCATTTTCTATCCAGAAACTGTGATTTTTTATTCGCGTTTTCGAGTTAAATCATTTCCAAACCAGTTCCACTAATAGCACTAAAAAGAAAAAAATTGTTCCTCAAACCCTCGGTTCAACTGGTTTCAGGACATTCTCAGAAGCAAAGGCTTCAGCGCCATTGGCCAATACTACAAGGTTCAAAGAACCATACTGGTTGCAACATGTGGAAACTACCCCTTTATTGATCTTTGCAACATTCTGCTGATATTCTCATCTGGATTATCAGTTGAACAGTTCCAGGCAGTAAGTGATCTGATGTGCAAAAACCCAAAAACTAACTGTTTGTCTTTTGAAGGAAATGATTCCAGTTTTCTTCAGCTACTATCCATCAGGAATCAGCTTGCGGACTCTGGAGCACTTTGCGCAGATCGTCACTAGCAATGGGAGGTTTCGAATGTTTGACTACGGCTTAAGAGGGAATTTGGAGCATTATAACAGCACAGATCCGCCCGAGTATGATACGTCGCAAATACCAGTGCCGATTCACTTATTTGTGGGAAATAACGATATAATCGGCGACGTCAAGGTAATTATTCAAGGCACAAATACGGAAAAAAATATACGATCCATCTTGAATTTTCCAGGATGCTTCCATACTGGAATCCAGACTTAATAAAGGTCGCAGCGTTTCAACATCGCAAATTTACAAATTTCCTTTCGCCCACAATGATTTTTTCCTGGCCAAGCAGCTGGATGGGTTCCATAAAAGTTTGCTGCAAGCGATCCAGAGGTAAAATAGCAGTTCAGAAATTGCCATTGCGGAGGATGTTCCTAAGGCCGGGTCAGGTCCGGTGTCCGTTTATGAAGCCAACTTAATATGCTCAATTTGCAAAAGTTTAAATTGCGTCTAGACGCCTTTTACACTAAAGGGGTGAAATTTCGGTTTAACTGTGATTTGGCGTGGGAGTTACATGCTGCAGTTGTCAGCAATAAAGCCAGGATCAATCATTCCTCTAACATTTTCGCGCTTTTTACCAATAATGCTCCAAACTGGAAGATTTTGTGATAAGTTTGTTTATAGCTGTTTATTGATCATTAGATTGTAGGGTGTAAATAAAGAGAGTGAAGAGTTTTACATGCTATTTATTTCTGTAGGTTGATAGGATTGTTTTTATTAAAGGAGTTCAGAGAATATTGAAGAGCATTTAGTCCGTTTGTTTCTCCAATGCCGAGTATTTCGGGCAAATCGCATTTAGCAAAACTTCCAGTGTCTAGACATTTTTTATAGCCCTGCTCAATACTATAACCCTTATATCCCTTCATGTATGATCCTCGTTTATGATCCGAAAATGTGTCGACAAACAGAAGTAATGCTTTCACGTGCCAGAAATCCCATGCAAACTCCGTTGGGAGTTGGGACTGTTTCACTATAATTCATCCAATATAAATGAGATTAGGCTAGTTTAATTTACGGCTTGTATTGCCCGGGAAGTAACGACAAGATTATCCAGATTATGTTTACCAGAAGATGCCAAAATATATCATAAGATTTTGCTGCAGAAAAAGCGAATCTGAAAGATTGCGTGGAAAGTCATTTGGTAGGTATATAGAATGGAAGAATATCATTCGCATTTTTACATAAGTTCGTTGGATTCCTGACTTCCGTGGGACAGTTTTGAGCAATTTTAGTCCTTTTCTTTGGTTTTTTTTTATTAAATTCATTAATTCACATTTGCGATTTTTGGCTGAGTACCTACATAGATTTCAACCTAGGAAATTTCTCAATCCCAAGTTTAGATGGTTTGAGATGGAAAGGAAAATATCATGGGTATAAGATTTTCATGGCTTCATCATAAAACAGTTAAACATTTTCGATTATTTGGGATCTGAAGGATCTTACAACTTTTGCCGTAAGCTTGTTGTATTCCTCACTTCCCTGAGATGAAAATGGAATATCTAATGGAGCGGTTTAATTTATTTTCTGTTGGCTTCCTCGGACAAAAATCAATAGTTAACATTTGCGTTGTTCAATAGAAGACGTTTCTCAATACTATATACAAATGGTTTGAGTTAACAAAGAAGATATCGTGGGTTTAAGATTGTCGTCAGTCCCAAACCCCTTAAAATACTTTGCTATATTCGATTATTTGGGATCTGAACGATCTAATGCGTTTTTTAAGGCTTGCCGGATTCCTGCGCTTCCAAAAGATGGAAACAATGTATTACTTGAGGCATTTTGAGCGATTTGAGTTCTTTTCGTCACCCTCTTATTAGTTTTAGCATACACGTTATCCAAAGAACCCAAAGCTTTGTCTGGAATTCTTGTTAGGCTCAATATTCTTATAAAAACTGTAGTTTTCTATTGTCTTCTCCACGCTGCAAAAATGCAAAATCCTTGCTAGTTTCAATTTGTATTTTTAAAAGAAGTGCAGTTTGTATGTCAGCATGCACAATTTGCAACAGGAAAAATATTTCCGGTTAAAAATCATCACTCTGAACCCGCTTAACATTTAAACATTTCTTTTTTGTCGGAATCTAAAGGATCTAATCAATTTTTGTATGACTTTATTGTATTTTTTGGGTGTTGATTTGATCGCTTAAAATAGTTCAAAATTTTCGAGTATTTGGGATCTCAATATTCTAGAACGGTTTTGCATGAGCTGGCTGCATTTCCCGGTTCATTGGCAAAAAGGCACAAGCTTTAAGATTTTTTTGGCCAAAAATCAACATTTAACATAGGTGGATTTTTTGAGCCAAACGTATAGATTTAGACTGGAAAAGTTTCCTAAAATCACATATAGTTGGTTGAGTTTACAATAAGAAAGTTACCATGAGTTTAAGATCGTGATCGGCTTATAAACCGCTTACAATAAAATGGTTTAACAACCATTTTATCTGGGGTATTTTGAGCGATTCGAGGTTTTGGAAAAGACGGTGGAAACTACGATTGATTCGGCCAAAAATCAACAGTTTACATGTGCGGGTTTTGTGAGTTCAGTGCATCGCTTTCGACCTAAAAGTTTCTCAATATCATAGATCCACGGTTTGAGCTTATAATAAGAAATATATTATGAGTATAAGCTTGTGGTCGCCCAAGAATTCCTTAAAATAGTTCAATTTTTTTTATTATTTGAAACTTTAACAATAGAAGACGGTTTCTATGAGTTTGTTGCATTCCTCGTTTGATTGCGATTGAAAATTGCAAAGTTTTCAAAAAAGAAAAAAGAGTTTAAGGTTGTGTAAGTGAAGATCGCTTATAAACTGCTAAAAATATTTCAAAATTTTTTCTTTATTTAGGACCAGAACAATCTACAACCTTTTGAATGAGCTCGGTACATTCGTCGCTTCATTGAGATGAAAATGATGGATCATTTGACCAATTATGGGTGAGGTTGAGCCAAAAAACCTTTTTTTTTTCCCAAAAGTCGACATACATGTGCAAATTTTTTGAGCTCAGTGAAAAGCTTTTAACGTCAAAAGATCCTCATTATGCACATATCTTTAGGTGATTTGCGTTTGCAATACGGAACTTCGTAAAACCGCTTAAAGCTCTTGAAAAATCGTCGATTATTTAAAGTTCGGAAAACTCCTACGCATTTTTCTAAACCCTTGTTGCATTCTTCCACCTTTGAGGCAAAAACGATGGGAATTTTGTGGCATTTTGATTAATTAGAATTTTTCGATGCAGGAACCCTTAAATGACGGGGAATTTTCAACAATCCTGCCTCAAAAGACAAAACCGAGACAACATTTCTTAGATACTAAAAAAGAGATGACTGTATCAACCGTGAAAGCTTAAAAATAGTTCAATTATGTGTAGATCAAAAATTTTTAACTGCTTTCTTTATAGCGTTGCACGACTATTATACATATGCATTTTTTCCAATAGCGCTTTTCTATGCATACTAGTTAAGATTATTTTTAAGTCAATTGCAATTTTATAGCGAAGCTCCTCATCGAATGCTACTACTTAAGATAACGATTGCATTTTACTGCGGTCGGTAGCAAATGAGCCATAAATATTGTCAGTAAGTGATTAAGCAATTACCAATTACCCTATTTATGTTGTCTAAAAATAAATATTAACGGCGCCGTTAATAAAAAATTTGAAGGTCTTTTATGACTAACAACACCCAGATTCTTCTTGCAGAGACAAACCAAGCCCATTTCATGGGTTTCAAGATCTTGGCTATCAATCACTTTCTTAAGCGCTGATCAGTCTTGATCATAATTGAGCATAATTTGTAGGAAATCATTCAAAAGAAGCGGAAAAACTCGGTGAACCTTGCTATTTCATATAAACAAATTAGCAATAGTGCGTGTATGGTTAATGTAATTATTGTAGTGTTTTTTTGCGGAACTGCAATTTCTTATTTTTGCAACATTTTATTGCATTATAAATGCCCTACATTGACTGACTTTAGATCATTCTGTCGATAAATATACAAACTAAATTACTTCTACTTAGGAGTGATGTTGCTTAAAATTTTCTTAGTTTTCGTCTTTATTATGGATGCGATTTTTGCACGAAATCTCAGTCTTGTGTGCAGAACTCCAGAGGGATACTTTGAGGGTAGCGAATCCAGTTCAGACTGCTGGTACGATCCAGATGTGAATGTTCTTCCAGTAAGTTAATAAAGGAAAGAAAACTATCATCGAATCTTGAGCACTGTAGAGTTGTGTGAATTAAGGAAAAATTAGCTCAGAACCACGATCTTTCACTGGAAAAGCATTTGGTGCACACAGAAGACGGCTGGATATTGACTACTTTCCGCTTGAAAACTGTAAGAGGTTATGGAAAAGGCGTTGTATTCCTGCAGCATGGAATGATGACCGATGCCATGTGTTTTATGGTAAATGGGGATCACTCAATTGGTAAGTTAAAAACCCAGGATTATTCGATCCAAAACACTTGGGGATTTCAGCTTTTTTCCTTGCCAAACAAGGCTACGACGTTTGGCTGGGGAACTTTAGAGGAAGCGACGTGAGCACACATGCAAGACTGAAGCGAAGCGATAAAGATTTTTGGGACTTTAGGTCAGTGGTTTGCAATGCAGGGCCAAATGAGTGAAAATTTAACTTTCAGTTTTCATGAGCATGCTCTATATGATCTGCCAGCATTCTTCAAATATGTTACTCAGAAAACTCAGAGCAAGATTTTATACATTGGGCATTCAATGGGAGGAACGACGATGGCCATTTATTTGTCCACCAACCCAGTGGAATCGAAGAAATATATTGAAAGAAGCATACTTTTTCAGAGTCCCACTTATATGAGACATACCAAAGGCTTGGTCGCTCGGTCAGTTGTTAACGACATATATGGTGTGTTGGTAAGAACATTTTTTAACTGAAAATAGTTGACTTTTGTGATGCTTTGGGCTTTTTCCAGGGCGCGTTGCCTAGCATGGGCATGAACGCCCTGATGGAAACGCATAGTTTCGAACGACAATCTACCATCCAGTACTGTTCGGCTTCTCTAGCGGACTTAAGAAGCTGCTTGAAACTTTCCGACTTAATTAACGGGGATTGTGACTTCCCCTTTCCACCTGTAGGTATTTTTGTTAGGTATTCAATAGGAACAGGCAGATTTTTGTGGTTTCAGGAAAATTTTTTCATCGGTCTTTTAACAGTGCGAAATTGCGCATTTCGTGTATTGTACCATTATGCTCAAGTGATCCGATCTGGGGAGTTTCGCATGTACGATTACGGCCCCAAAGGAAACTTGAATCGCTATAATTCCTCAGTTCCTACCAGTTATAATCTCGAACATCTGCCCAATGATATCACCTGGATTTTTGGAACAACTGATGCTCTGGCAACCAAAGAGGTAGGCGTTTGCAAGCAAAAATTAGACCTATTTTGACTGTTTTCCAGGATGCTTTGGAGACCTTTGAAAGATTCAAAAGGCCTGGCTGGGATATCCATGAAATTCCTTACAACCATTTGAATGCCTTCGTGGACAATGTCCATGTTGCACAACATTTTTTTCCATTACTGTCGAAAGTCATTGAACAACATATAAATAAGGGCACATTAAAGTGAGGTAATGTAAACGCCTGTAAACGATAGGGCGAATTACTTATGCGATAATGCGTCTTGCCTAACTTCAAATAATTAACCCTGTTAATTATGAAGTTGGACGAAGACTGATGACTAAGTAAAACTGGGCTGCTTCCCCAAGCTTCACGGTTTCAGGCCAGTTATACTGGATGTTTAGTGAATACGAACTTTGTTTTATTAGGAAATTTTCGTAATTTTTACCATTTATCAAATCCGATGATGGTGATTGACAATTTCGAAGGTAATTAGACGGAAACAGACTCATTTCGTTATCGGTTAACCGACACTATCAGTACACCTAATATGATGCGTTTACTAGGAGGAACGCCACATTTTGCGAACCCAACATGTTGTATACTTTATGCGTTATTTACATGAGCCAGATAAAAAAAAATTGGGATTATTTCGCTCGTAATAGTGGCAATTAATTTCAATAGGTCCCGATTAGGTTCATTACGGCTTGATAATTAGTGCACAAATGAGGCCGATCAATTAACAATTTTACACATACAAACGAACCAAAATCCTTGATTATTACTTTTGACCAATAACGTACCTGAAACTTCAGGGCAACTGTACCAATTAGAATGGATTTGTACCTCAGCCCCAGGCTCTTTCGCCAAACTGCAAGCGGATGAGAAAAGCTCATATTATAGGGCTCGATTAAATGCTGGGTTTCAGATCAAAGCTTTGAAGTGAGAAATGGATCGCTTTGTACAATGCTTGGCAAGCGATGCCCGTGAAAGCTACAGTCAGCAGGAAACTAGTTTAGTGGAATGTAGCCCTTAGAAAAATCGAAATTCTTTATCGGCGTTTTCCTGTTTGGACAAAGCTAAATGTGTAGGCGAAATATAGATGAGTTGAAAATTTCGTATTTGCAAAGGAACTGAACGAATTCAGTGAAGGTTGGTTGCGACTGGAGCAAGGCATTCGACTGTTTTAACCAACGAATACCGCAAAGGTAGTTGGCGTAGTTGAAATGCTTTTAAACGGGGTTTTAAGCTATTTTGTTCGTCACTATTTTAGTCTAATACAACATGTTTTAATCAGCTTAATGTGCTTGGTTAACCGAATATATCAACGCTTTGAATTACAGACTTGGTTTGGTTTATGGCCAAAGATGAATGTTCGAAAAAATGCTGAAATATTACAGAAACCCTAGTGATGGGAAAAATCAAATTCTATTAATAATCGAATCAAATGTGTAAATAAATTTTTATTTAAATTTTCTCGATTCCAAGTTTCCTTTGATGTTAGAATAGAACAAGTTTAGTTATAGATTCCCCAAGCAATGCCCGGATCTCTCTACTGTCTACTAATCATTTTTGTACATTAATTCCATATATTTTTCGCCTCGTATTACATCTCTGTGGTATGAGCCAATTTAATCACACTTCCTTTTTTCTGATTATTTCTTTTCTTTAATTCGCATTGCTTTGTCTTGCCATTTAACATCGATAAATTCCTATTTCTCCTTTTCCTTCTTCCTAATAAAACGTAGGATTAGATAGATAGGTTAATAGACTTTATTCATGTTTAAAATTTACATCAATGCGTACATGCATGTTAATCGAATTGACTCGATTGTATGGATAAACTAACAACTCCCCCACAACTGGACCATACTGAATCCCCTTTGCCTCACAAGACCGACAAAACACTCCCGTTTTCGTTCCCCAACAGATACTTTACTAGAACAC